AGATCTTTAAAGCTACCTAATTAGTTATGTATATTGGTTTGTATAGGCCCATTTGATCCTGTGACTTCTCACAGAGATCAACTTAGATGTCTAAATGTCAGAGTCCTGCAGCAAGGAATCAAATCCCACTCCTCATTACCTAGGTAACTTAAAACAAGTACTTAGGTCTCTCTTGGCCTTGGCTCCCTGCATTTCAAGTGGAATAGAAACAGTGCACACTGCATTGGATTATGTTAACCAACTAATGTAGAAACACTTTGGTTAATGTCTGCTGCACGCCAAATTCTGCATCACTATTAATCATGGCGTTCCCTGTTGACATACTGTTCCCTTCCTGAGATAGCCTCACAGGGTCATGGGAGTTTAGTAACTACCTCAAATACTTGGGGTTTCTTTTCCAACCCGTGCAGCAATTCTCTCTCACAACCAAAGACACTTCTCTATTTATCCTTAGACTTACAGGAACAATATCCAGTTATTTTTGCCACTACTAGTTTTAATAACTAAATAGAATGCAATCACATTACATGCCAATGTAATAACTTTATTTTGAAGGAATCTAGCAGGAAAGTGTGACTGCAATGAGTTATTTTATAAGAAAGTTATCTCTGGATGTTTCTGTTGTGGAGAAACCTTTCATGAGCAATCCAAATACAATTTAACACTTTGATTCGAGGCATGAAAGTGGGACTAAGGTTGAAGACCTGATTGATGCTTTGAAATATGAGTCAGAACAATGTGATTACTTCATAGAACCCCCATTAATGTATATTTGGTGGTTTGAAAATGATACATACTCTGTTTAAATTGCTGCCAATAATGGTTAGATACGTGGTAGAAACTATAAAATAGATTGTCAGCTTGTTACTTGCATTGGAGTCTCTTTATTTTGAAGAAGATGCTTCTGTAGAAAACATTATAGTTAACGGTAGTTCAATTATTTTTTGAGGTTTTGCATGTGAAACATCAAAGAAGTTTTAGATTTCTGAAATGTAGTTTGTATTGTCCATTGCATGATTCGAGTACCTTAGCCTGTTTGGGCTACTATGACAAGATACAGAGAATGTTTGGCTTGTAAACAGCAGAAACTCCTTACTGTGCTAGAGCCTGGTAAGCCCAAGATCAAGGTACCAGAGACTGTGGGGTCTGATGAGGACTGAGCTTCTGATTGCTTATGGCTCCCTTGGCCTCACATGGCTAAGGAAGTAAAGGAATATCTCCAGGTTCTGTTTTATTTTTAAAAACCTGAGGGACACTGATACCACCAACTTCCCAAGGTCCTCACTTCCTGGTATTGTCATCTTGGGAGATTTCCACTTATGAATTTGGAGGAGATACAAGCATACAGATCATTTTAGTGTCTTACATTTCTTAGTGAATGTGATCTTTTTGCTATTAGTAAAACACATAATTCCTACCCCTGTTTATGAAGTGCAAAAATTATATTTCCAGTAGAATAGTATTTAATTCCATCAACCATTGTTCACCTAAGTTTCAAAAGACAAAGGAAAAAGAACCTTTTGAATTTATTGCTTTTTTTTCACTATTCGCTCGGTTCTGAAGGATAATCATTCACTTTTTAAAATATACTTTAAAATTATTCTGTGTGGCCTCCTTTAGAAGAATCAGATATTCATGCCTTGGGTAGTTGGATGAGTATTATGAATGATAAAATTAACAGTTTTTGGGGAAGTAACAGTGTGAGTGGTGGGATTTTGGAAAATTAGAGATCAGATGACCTTAACGCGGGTACAGCTGGTATTCAGTTAAGAGAAGGATTGACCCTACCAGAGTGGAAAACACAAATAATTCTGAAAAACAGACATAATTCATGGACCTCAAATTGGCAACCCTTATTTTATAGCCTTGCTACCTTTCTTCTTCAGCATGGTAGTATTTTCTGCTTTCAGCTGTATCTGCATCCATATCTGATCCATTCTCTGTCTCTGTTCCAGGCTGATGTTTCTAAAAGCAAAAAAAATTGGGTCACACCCCTTTTAACACAACTGCTCATGGCCGGATTGTACCCTTCATAATACAAAAATCCACTGTCCGCCTTTGTCACACCTGGCCTCTGCTTATTTTCAGTCTCACTACTTATCACTGCCCCACCCAGACACTATGCCTCATAATGACAAGAATTACATAATTTTTTCTAAGGACACAAGTTACTGATGCCCCCTATGGCTGTCTTTTCTGCCTTCCCTTTTACTCTTCAGACCTCACTGGTTACCTCTCTAAGCTTTCTTTTCCTGGGTACTTGCTGCGCTGTACTATAAGAGTTCAGAATACAGCTCTTCAATGCTCTTCCTGCACTCCAGCAGTCCACTTGCATCTCTAATCTATATTAGCCTACTTTATCAATTCACTGGTGTCCCTCTTTAAGCACAGGTCTTGCCCCTTTTACTGTATCATCTGTGTCTAGTATACAGACCACAGTCAGACATATACATGCATTGATTAGAATATTATCTGTTACCAATGCACTTTCTATATTATGATGTGAAGATGGTTAAGAACAAATGATGAATGTATATGAGGACATTTCTTAAAGGAACAAAATTATTGAGAGTGAAGTGAAAATATTTTATCTCTGAGGCAATAGAGTTATCTTTAATCCTTTAACTCATATATGGACTCTCTTCTCAGATCCATCTTATTTTAGCAATCTCCAATTTGATGTAATAAAACATAAAGCACTATTTAGGAAAGTGGGCAGAAATCTCATAAATATCACTTGTCAGTTGATTTCAGAAAGCACCAACACACTATTGACTGACTGGACCATAAAAGGTGGGGTCTCCACCAGTTGTGTTTAATGGGCATTTTTATATACAGCTTGGCTCATGATGCTGTTTGAAGTAATCTTCTCTTTACACTATACTGGGTAGATGGTTCATAATTTTCAACCTATATGATTTATGTGTCCGTTTTCTACAGCTCTTGCTTTGATATCAGAAGCATTAATCCTTCAGAATCCCGTGGTTGTAATGTTAGCTGCCAACAGCATTGATTTGCAATTGGCATGAGTGTATGCTTCAACAATTCTATGAAAATCCAGATCTGTTTTGATGACAACATTTTTACTATTGAAATTGCTGAATATAGAATTTTTTCTAAACATCATGGCAGCTATGGCAGGCAACTAAAGGTACTCAAGAAACATTTGCAGGCCACTTCAGAAAAATGGCAAGAGCTGTTGGAAGAAGTGAGGGCAAGACAAGGGGAACTATTTTGAGGGGAATGAATGACAATGTGCCTTTTACATTAACAATTTTTGGAATGTTTTCACCTGAGCTTTTTATCATAGATTATGTACATGTTGTTGGGGGAAAGCTAACTATACCTAACAATCAGCAATAAATTGTATTTTTAATTTCTCTCTATAACTAATGAAGACAATATGAAAGGATAACTTGCAGGTCACTATAAACTGTGTGATTTCACTGTGTGTTCTTCTAGTGACAACTAATGCCACGGAAGACTTTGTAGACATTATAAACTCTCTAAATCCCTAGGGTGTATTTCACTAGGTGTGTAATTAAAAAGAATTCTTCAGTCTTAATAGACTCTAGGATGGTGATTTTTGGTAGTATTAATCATTGAATGAAATATTTTTTTAAAAAATTATGGAGAGGTGTATTCATTTTGAGTGGAGGAAGATGATGCTATGCAGAAGTTATATACAAGAAAATGATAAGGAATATATGTGTCTGTCCTACATTATCTCCTCCACTAGGACACCAGCACACCTCACTAATGAAACAGTTTGTGAAGGCTGTGAGCTCTCTGAGGAAGATGATCTTACATTTATCTCATGTGCTGGGAATTCATTCTTTGTACAGGTCTCCAAGAGTAAAAGCCCAAATGCTATGTGTGGTTTACCACCCCTCTATCACCACCAGGTTTTCACTAACTTGAAAATCTTACAGGATTCTGGCTTCCTTTAAAACAAATGAAGAAATGCTAGGAAATTGTGGAATACGAAAAACTCAGGCATTAAATGGCTGTTTTTATGTGGAACTTGATTTTTTTAGGGAATGATGTACCTAGAAGAAAGACGACTTGTGCATCGGGATTTGGCAGCCCGTAATGTCTTAGTGAAATCTCCAAATCATGTGAAAATCACGGATTTTGGACTGGCCAGACTCTTGGAAGGAGATGAAAAAGAGTATAATGCTGATGGAGGAAAGGTAGGCATGCTTTTGAGAGGAATATTTCTTGAAAATGTAGTGCGATATCTGTTTATCATTTTATCTTCCTACAATTTTAGGAGGAAACCAGTGAGCTTGAGATTTCAATGATAATGCTCTATCTCCAGTATTTATGTTTTTCTTGCCTAGGGTCAGAAAATAAAGCATATGTCCAACTTTTGTTTTTCAAAGGCAGGCAAAAATGAGGATATGTACTGAGCCCAAGTGGTTTTCATGTTAGTAGCAGCAATAGGAAGTTGACAATTCCTTAGGAATTTATGAACTTAAATGCAAAACACAGGGCCATAGAAAGTTCCATTGATGCTAAAATCCTAAGATTTACTCCTACAACAAAGTTCAAGTGCTCATAGACTAGAAAGCTTGACTATACCAAGAAGTCACTTGAAAGCTGACCATTCTATTTAACTTCTACACTGGGCATTTTCCTCCACCAAGTCTTCTGGATTCCAATGATCTGCATATGATTTTTGTGGGGGTGTTCTAGCTTCCATTGTGAGTATAATTTACCTTCATTGTTAGCTAGTTCTCCACTGGAATACAAGCTTCTTTGTGAGAGAAGGTTGAACAAATCTACTTTAGCTTCTTCCTTAGCTACCTTTTTAAACTCCAGTTTTAGCCTCTTCCTTCCATGATGTGATCTCAGTTCCTATCTTTTATATCCTCATTAAATCACTGTTTAGCTGTCAATTTTCACCTAGCCAATTAAGTTAGTCTTCATGTAGCAATCTATTTAGTTTAACCTAGAGATACTTAGGTCAAGCTAGTCCAAATGAAATAAACAAATGTGATCTTAACCAACAGTGATTGATCAAGTTATTTTAACAAAAAGAAAGAGGAATCCAGATGTGGTGGGGCAGCCTGCAGGCACCCTGGGAGATGGAGGCAGAAGCAACACCCTGGCTCAAAATAAATGCTAAAAATGGTTGGGGCTGTAGGTCAGTATGAAGGTTCTGAATTGCATTCCCAGTTTTAAGAAAAGAAGTTATTCTTATGACAGAAATGTCTTGTGCCTTATTTATCAATTTTAAGCAGCAATTATATAACGTAAATACTCTCCAGTGACAGGATTTCAGGTGCTTAGCACTAACTTCTTACTCTCAGCACTTACTTAACTGTATATATTCAAGTTTTATGCCTACACAAGATTAACAAGAAATCTTTTTTTTTTTTTCAAACAAAGAAAAACCTTCTATTTTGAGAAATCGTCTGGGATTTCCTCGATTTTATTAGCCTCTTTTGCCTGTTTACTGCCAAATTGCAGTAGAGTCCGTATCTTTGAAATTCACTACAAGACTGCACAGGACTAAAAGTTATAAATCATATGACTTCACTTGTCTTAAGAACGTACAGCTGTAAGATTTGTCTAAAGCAAGATTCATTATAGCTTTAAATGCCTGGTAACCATTAAGTCTTTATCAAGCAACCTGTGATTTAAACTTACTTCTTTAGCACAATGCCTGTAGTCCATAAAGTCTGCTAACTCCTTCCCCACAGGGAAATTACTTTCAATGTGTCTTCTGTTCTCTTTCACTGAATCCCATGATTCTGTCATAGAGTTACCTTGGTGTCACCTTGTGAGCAGCCAACCTCATGATTTCAAAGGCCTATTTCGTTTTAAGCTTCCTGCTGCAAAGTAGTAGTGTTTATCTTTATTCCATAGAATCTAATTATATTTCCAGGTACATAATGCTGCCCTTCGAGTTGAAATGCATTCTGCTGACCCATCAGCAGCAGAGTGTGTGGGTTGAGTTGTTTGTCTTGCAGCGATGATGGATTTGTGCTGATCTGCTCACATTCTTTTATAGATTAGTTCCTATTTTGGAAATGGTACATATTTTCAATGCTGGCTAACCAAGACAAGGGAGGTCATCTGGGCTGGGGAATGAAGCAGAGCAAGCTTTGGAATTCATGATTTTAGGCAGTTTAGTAGTCAAAATATATAAGCAAAGATGAGGGGGAAGTTGTACAAAGAATTTGTTGTAGTTACAGTTGGAAGTATGTCTGGAGGTGAAAAGGGATAACTAAAACTGTAAGCAAGCTCATTTGTTCAAGAAAAGATATAATATGGGTACATTCTTGAAGCATATGCATTTGATGTTTAGTTTTGATATTGTTGGCCATAATATTATGTGTACATTCCATGCTAGACATTAGTTAAAGATATAGAAACTTGTTTATATTTTGCTATTTTGCTTTTTATTGTTTATGAAGCTTTTTTCAAAAACCAAATATATCTTTGGGGTAACTGACTGTAAATTTATGAATTTCAATTTATTATCTACCTTGTAAAGATATAACTTAAGTTGTAAAGATATAACTTAAGTTATATCTTTACATGAAAATCAAAAGTACTGTAGAGGACCATCAGAGGCTAACATTTAAAATACGTCAAATGATTTTTTTCCATGTAATTGTAAAACTTCTTATCTCTCTATAGATGCCCATTAAGTGGATGGCTCTGGAGTGCATACATTATAGAAAATTCACTCATCAGAGTGACGTCTGGAGCTATGGTAAATTAATTTTTCTTATCAAGTAAGGCTTGTAAGCAAAATAATTATTCTTTATTTAAACTATTTGAAGCCACATGTCCTTTATCGTGTTGGGAATATCTATCTGCCTCATTTAATACAGGAATTGACTCTGCTGTCTTCAAAATTAATACTCCCAAGAGCATCCTCATGTCCATTTTTTGCGATTTCCTTATTCTCTAAATGTGATATGACAATATTCCTTCTGAGTGGTCTACCATAAGCTCTGTTTTGCTAGTAAGTTACCTGATTATTTTTATACAAAAAATGCTTACAACTTAAGGACAACTTCATACTGGCCATATTTTCAACAACTCTCTGAAAACATCACCTGGAATGCAGTGAATGATAAGAGACAAAAGGGAGTTTCTGTTCTGTAGCAGTAAGTGCAGAGGCTATTGCTGTAATAATAAACAATTACTGTAAATAATAAAAATAAAGAAAATGAAGAGGTAAGGGAGAAGTCTACTAATTGAAAGTTTGATTTTAAGTAAAAAATTACTTTTGGAGTGACAGAAATGCTATAGAGTCAATAATGCCAAGCTCAACAATTATTATTTATTACTGCAACATTTATTTCATTATGTTTAGTTTGATCATTTAGCAACTGATACAGTTTTGTTAACAACTTGACAAGAAATAGTTGATGCCTCTTTCAAGTTTACAAATACCATACAAATGAATATTTATTACAAATCAAAGTCTAGTGCCTATTTAAATGAAACGGATGGGTCTACAACATAGCTCAGCAAGACAAGCACCTGCCTGGCAAGTGCAAGGTCCTGAGTTCAATTCCTTTATTTTTATTTTTATTTATTTATTTTTATTTATTGAGAAATAGCAATGAGACAGTTTAAAAACCGATTAGTAGGACAGTTTCAATAATTAATACATTGCAAATTGTGGTCTTCATAGTGGTTATCTATAGTACAAGATGCAGACATGGTATCCTGTCCAAACACTATTAGTACAAATCTTTCTTCTCATTGAATTAAGCAAAAGTAGCTGTATATCTATCCTAACTGTTTTGTATATACAGATACAAAATGGTCCTTCATTTGTATCCCCTTTTCTGTTTATTTTTGTCAGAGTTGGGTATTCCATTGCCATTTAAAATTGCAGGTGCATGAACTCAGCAAGATAATCCAATATAGTTCAGTAGTCCAAAATAGTAGTGGGTTATCCATAGGACTGGCAATGTTAGAAGTTGTTGACTTGAGCCTTTTACAGCTCAGCATATTAATATAGCTTAACTTTTTATACCTCATTTTTATACTTTTCTTCTGGATGGTTAAGACCAAGATAAAGGAAGACCTATATAACAAGAAATGTACTGACTTCAATTCTTAATAAAAAAAAAAAAGGTGATGCTGACATTTTAAAGTTTGGTACAACTTATTTTCCTAAATTCAAGCTGAGTTTTATTGTTTTTCATTTTTAGAATGAATATTTAACTAATTAATGACTAAATGACATACATTTTGAAGCAATTAATTACCTAAAAATATGTAAGACATTTCACAGTAAAGTTTGTTTCCATCCTTACACCTTTTATTTTTTCAAAAAAATAATCTTTGTAAAAAAATTAAGCCATTTCAATAAAATAGATTTCTTCATTTGTATGCCATAGAAGCTGTTAAAATTTCCAAGATGACCAAACACATCCTACTCATCTTAGAATTAGAAAAATGTGTGCTTGAAGTTTAAAAAAATAGGAGAATTGCTTAATAAAACTTCATTGTGAAATTTCTATAAAGGATAAAGAGAAATGAAAAATCTATGATCTATATTATGTGATCATATGTACATTATGTGATATATGATACACACTAGCAATACATTAGACGTGCATATTGTATTTTATGAAATTTATATAGTATCATACATGTATATGTGCTACACATACATGTTTTTTCTTTTGTTTCTGTACTTAGGCATCCTGAACTAGATGTAAGTTGTAGCAGTTGATTTTAAATGACTTAGAAACAAACAAATATTGGCCAAACAGTAAAATAGTAAAATATTTTTGATAGTAAAATAGTAAAAATTTTATATTTTGAAGAAAATCATGTTACTCAGGCTAGAACAAATTTCTTCACATTGAGTTCAAAATTCCAGGAGCTGTTCAGTAAAATATCATACAGTGTTTTGAACACTGTTCATCAATACGTGAGCTTCCTAGGATGTGTCACAGCTAGTAGAAAAAGACATAGAAAGAAAAAAATAACATACTCTGGTTTTAGAGTACACTTTTATAGGAAATTATCACTGTTTCATCTTCGTATTAATATTTACATGAAGGTGCAATAGCCATATCTACAGATAATAGAATTGCAATGCAAGTTTTAAAGATGTTTCTGATTTATGTATTTATTTATTTATTATGTTTTTAGTACAGGGTCTCACTACACAGCTAGGACTCATAGTGATCTCCTGTTTTCAGCCTCCCCAATGCTGGGATTACAAGCATGCACCATCATGCCTTCTCATCACACCCAGGTACAGGGCCAGCATGGCCTGTAGTGCCAGAGATCGAACCCTGGTCCCTGCACTTGCAGGCATTTAGTGCTCTGAGCTATCTCACTGGCCCCAATCTAGTTTTTATGACATCCTTTGTGTGTATATGCTTCAGTCCATTGTAGTTTTTTAAAATTTTTGACTTGTAATTGCTTTATATAGTACTTATTTCAGAAGTCCTGACAGAGATGTGAGAGTGTTTTGTCTTTTGAAACTGCTTGACTTAATAAAATGTTCTATTGAATGTGAATTCTATAAGTCTAAGTAAATACAAGTAGACAGTCATCCACCTTTCAAGTCGTCCCAGTCTGTCTCATTGACTCTGAATTGTATTCACTCGTTCCATGAAGCAGTTATTTATAATGCAATATTAAGAAAGTAATAGACATCAATTAGTAAACTATGCTATCAATTACAAGCTTATATTGCACTTAACATCGTAAGATTCAAATATTCACAAAATAATGAGAACGTTAATGATTATATCATGAAGGAAAACTTGAAGCTCACATACACTTTTAATCAAGTTAGATGGTTTTTTTTATTTTCAGATAATGATGACTGTTATCAACTTCAATCTAAATAAATATTTAATTATAGAGAAAAGTTGAAACATAGCCATAATTAATTAGTTTTACATTAAGATAGATCTGTATATATGCAGCCATCAAAACCCCTGTTACACTGTGGTACCCACCTAGCCATTTCCACTTTAAAAAGCTCTTTTCAATAAAAATATATTTCAAATTATGTGATTATTAGTTCAAGAAACAATCTCTAGTGTATACATTAGTCCTTAATCAGAATCATTATTTTCAATACTATCTATTTGCATATTAATAGTAGGGTATTTTTTTTCCTAGAGGAACTCAGTATGCTAGTGGTTCAAGAAAGTCACATTTTGCCTAAGCAATAATTTATTCTTAATTCCTAAATTTTTATATACCTACTTCTTTGGTATTATGCCTTACATAAGGATTCATTTGGGCTTTTATATGTGCTAATAAATTAATACGTTTTCCACTTGTTTTCCTTTTGCTAATTAAAAAAAGAGATGCATTTTGCTCCTACAATGTACGACAGCGATTCAGGAGCTCCAGGTTAGCCTTTTAGTGCTTTTATAGCAAAGAGGCTAATCTCAAACACAATCAATACCATATTTTTCCTGGAGCCATATTTATTTGGTACTGAACACATATATAGACAGTAAATGACTTGTATTATGGGCTGTAAATGTGGTATAGTGAAACATAAATTGGATCAGCAAACATTAGCATTACTTATGAGTAGAAATAGAGAACAGGGTCTGTATTCTAATAGCCACTCTACATTTTCTCTGTTATGTACTAAAATTCCCAGACAATAGTAAGAGAATCAATACATCCCACGAAAGTTTTATCATTGTGGTTGGCATTATGCATCCAGAAATCTGAAGCATGTCTTCAACCTTCTTTGAATTGACTGTTAGAATGAATTTATTTCATTGCCATAGACATTTTTTGTTGAAACTCTGTTGTGAATGTGCATGAATTTGGTTTCCAATTAGGTGTCACTATATGGGAACTGATGACCTTTGGAGGAAAACCCTATGATGGAATTCCAACACGAGAAATCCCTGACTTACTAGAGAAAGGAGAACGCCTGCCTCAGCCGCCCATTTGCACTATTGACGTTTACATGGTCATGGTCAAATGTAAGATCCCAAGATAATTTTGTCATCTTCATCATTCCTAATAAAATGATAGCATAGGTTACCTGTATAATGTTTTGCCTATTGATAAATGTAACAGGTCAAGTAATTATGAGTTAACTGGAAAACACCTGTATTTGTGTGATTATCACTAAATAAGATAGCCTCTAAGCTATGCAAAAATTATGTAAATTTAGTATTCTTTTTCTTATCAATTTTATGAGAGTCAAATTATCTGTCCTAAACAGATGCAGTCATAATAACATTAGTGGTAAAATTAATGTTATGAATGCTAGTATTAGTAACCTTTATGGAAAAAATCAGACTAAATAAATGATCTAAATATGAAGAAAGAAAACATGGAGCTGATAGCTCAAAAAAGGAAATTAAATGGAAATAGATTTACCAGTTTTAGTCAAGATCAAATAAGCAGGGCAAGGTGGAAAGTCAGAAATTCGCAGGAGTAATTTCATTGAACTAAAATACCACAGATGGTTACATTTTTTTCAATTTGACCATTTGTTTACATCAAAGTCTCTTACTTATCACACTCCTTCCTAATCCCTTAACACATATGTGTTATAGATGTGTTTAAATAGAATTAGGAAAATCTCTGGTGATTCTGAGTTAATTTCTGTGAGATTAACACACAGTGATCACTTTTCGTCCAAGCTGGGCTTCTCCCCTTTTGATTTACAGACTTAGCAAAGAAACAAACTGGTGAAGGTGAACAAGCACCTTATTAATAAGCAACTTTGGACCTAGGTCTGCTCAAATTTATATTCAGAACAAGTGTGATGCATTCTGACAGTGAGGGAGGGAATGAAAGATGCTCTTTGCAGCTCGGCTCAGTGTGCCCTTTCCCCTAAGCATAGTTGTATTTACTCAACATTTAGTTAGAGAATATAGTATCTCCCAAGAAGTTAACCTTTTCAGGCTCCCATAGCCCCAGAAACATCTATTATCTCAGCACCTTAACACTACTAAACATTTTTAAATGAGTACCTGTAGAATGCACAATATTTGAGATTTATTAGGAAAGAAAAAAACGAAGTAAGTGACATTACTTATATATGACACCCAAGAAATTCCCAGAATGGGGATTAGAAATTAACTCTCAGAAAAGAAAAGCAATCTTTATGACTTTATTCAACCAACATTGTTTGTTGTATATTTGTGTAAGAGAACTTTAAGACATGTGTGCTTTATTTTATTTTATTTTATTTTATTGTGGAACTGGGGATTGAACTCAGGCCCTTGTGATTGCCAGGGAAGTGTTCATTCCACTGAGCCATCTCCCCGGCCCTTTTATTTTTAATGCATGCTTTATATAATTTGATACCATAACTAGTGTAGGCTATGATTTATATACTCTGATGAAGTGATGCGAAGTGAGGCACTCATTTCATCTTAGTAGGCAAACTCTATTGAAAGTTTTACCTTTGTAATTTGGAGTCTTAATACTTTAGCTGGGGATCATCTGATTTTTTTTAAGAAATCAAAGAAAATGTGTCACTTTAATGCATGTCATCTCATCAACTGACCAGAGCCTAGGGAGATAAGATGCACTTTATCTAGACTCCCAGCTAAACAACAAGAACACATGCTCTGAAAACTGCTGATACCATTTTTATGCTGCAGAAGCTAGTACTCAGATAAGCTAATGGTGATTGCTGAGCAAACATTACCAGTCCTTCTGTTTCTATCTTTTCCTCTAAAGACAAGAAAAAGAGTAATATGAGAAAGTTAGTTTCAGTTCCTTTCTGGAAAAATACGCTGTTACAAACAAATCCCTTCTCCTCCTATATGCCATTGCAAATACAACATGATGTCCTGCCTTACAACTACATTGTCTATCACTATCAAATAAAATTTAAAGGGCCAGGGAGATGGCTCAGTGGAATATGCACTTCCCTGGCAAGTGCAAGGGCCTGAGTTCAATCCCTGGTTCCAGGAAAAAAAAATTAAAAATAAATTATCCCCATAAGAAAAAGCAACAACAACAGAGGCCTCATAGTGAGCCTGGGTTCTTTTTTCTAAGAAGAAAAATGACTATTAAATCAGGTCAACAAAACAAAATTGTATTTCTTATTTATATGTTTTGCTATGAATATGTATATTGTGTTTATTATGTTTTGTTATTAATAGCCACAGAGCAAGCAGGAGCCATTGCTACTAGGAATGTTTCTTACACTAGCTTTCATTGTTTTTCAGATAACTTACATAAAGACTACCTTTCACGTTTTGCCCTTATTTTTCACGAAGTTTAACTCTCGCTTCTTTCTTTCTAATTATAGATGTACTGACACCTTTTATTGTGTGAAATTTCCAGGTTGGATGATTGATGCAGACAGCAGACCTAAATTCAAGGAACTGGCTGCTGAATTCTCACGGATGGCTCGAGACCCACAAAGATACCTGGTTATTCAGGTGGGTTCACTCGGCTTGAATTTTAAGAGCATTACAGTGACAAATCTACTACATCACCTGGACACCTAAATATGGCTTACTGCGGAGGTGAACTCTAACGTATTGATGAAGCAGATTATCATGAGGAAATCCTTAAGCAAAAGACCCGTTTTCTTCATCTCAGAACCACCTCTAATCTCCCTCATAACTCTCACGAGATTGCGTTGGTCAGCCACATAATTATGGTTACCATACACACGAGAAGATCTCTATCCCTGGACAAGCTGTGCAGCACCCTACCTTTCATTAACATGATTGGTAAATTATGTTGGTTATCCTAATCTTTATCTTTCACAATCAAAGCAAGTGGGATTTTACTTTACACTTGTTCATACTTGAAGAAAATGGATAAAAAGTTTCAGTATATTTATATTTTCGGTATGTTTATATCTGTTTTTCGAATTTGCTTATATTTTTTTTTTTGTATTTATCACACTTGGTCTTGTATTATAATCTACTATCTTACCCTGTCATGCCCCAACACATTATAAGCTTCATTATGGCCAGTAGATGTGCTGAACAATTACTTTTTGAAATAAGAAATGAGTGTGTGAATTTTTTAGCAATTTGTTTTGCTATTAAATAAAGTTGCTGTGGAGAACACATATTTTCATATGAAAGGAAAAGTCATTTTGTGTGTCTTATGGGCATTCTTTTAGGGTGACGATCGGATGAAGCTTCCCAGTCCGAATGACAGCAAGTTCTTTCAGAATCTCTTGGATGAAGAAGATTTGGAAGATATGATGGATGCCGAGGAGTACCTGGTCCCCCAGGCTTTCAACATCCCTCCCCCCATCTACACGTCCAGGGCAAGAATTGACTCAAACAGGGTAAGAAGTCATTGCGCACAATTACTCTATTACCTTTGACAAATAAGATAATTGAAATGAAGTATAAGCACTAAAATTTCAAAGTGACTATATAATTGTAATCATGAGTTCTAGATTATAAACATGCCATTCCCACAAAAGATATGTCATTAATCATTTA